CAAAATGCAAAAAAGAAACAAGTTTGTATGAGCCACAGCCTCATCTACCCCAAAACCAGAAAAATTAGATGGTGTCCAGCTACCACTACAGACTGTTCTGGCCAGGGTCACAATAGTTGGTCCCCAGTAGAATAAGAGAAATATATGGAGCAGAGCTCAAATTCTTATTAAAAAAAAACAAAAAAGGCTATACAAACTAGAACAGCAGAGAACAGATGACTCCCTGAGGCATTCTTTAAACCTAGACCAAGGCTATCCTGAGATAACCTTCCAGTGAATCAGCAGAGCAGCACACAAAATAAAGGATATTATCTGTAAGATCAGTGCCCTACTTAAAAAACATCAGTATGAGGCCAAAAAGTCAACAGTCATTCAAAACCAAAGATGAGAAGATAAGGGAGCAGGAAAACTAGAATACCGGAAAAGGAACAAATTGAACACAATTAAAGAGAATGTTGACACATTGTAATAAATGTAACTAATGTGTCAGAAAAATTTGTGTGGAAATTATCAAATAGGAACTTAACTTTTCTGTGTAAATTTTCATCAAAAATTCAACAGATTATTAAAAAAAATCAAATATATCATAGAAAGCTGGCCATGGTATGTCTAAGTTGTGTACAGTAATGCAGACTGAATACAACACAGCTGTATCAGCTGGCGTCACAGCTGACCCTTTCATGGATTCTACATATATGAATCATGCCTCCCTCCTTATGTCTGGCAGTACTGTCCTACGTAAGCATTTAATGAAGTACAAATTTTAATTAAATGTCATATTACTTATTTATAAATTATTTATTTAAACACTTATTCTTTCACTTATCTATCTCATTATTTGACATTTCACATTTATAACAGTAAAATATATGCTTAAATCATCTTAAACCCTGGTAAGGACCCATGTGTTATGAGTGCGAGAGTACTACTCTTCTTGAGTCCTAAGTTCTTGATTCCTCAATTTCCACCTCTCTTCCTAGTCATAAATGTGAATCTAAAGGTAAGAGAGAAAGAAAAAAAAAAGCGTCCTCTGCCTATTAACTTGCATCCATTCTCTGGGGCCTCGATAAAGGGCCTCACTGAATCCCAACTAGGCCTGCAGTCTGGTGGCTGCCCTGCTGTCTGAGTGGAGCTGCCTTTGAATCTGCAAGAAGGTGATAGAGGGGCAAAAAAAAAAAAAAAAAAAAAGATGCGTGGTGGTCACTTAGCCACAGAACCCATTTCTGCCATTTGTGTGCTTGGCGGCGCTGGGGCCAGTCTGGTGAGTGGGAGTTTCTGAAGAGAGCAAAAATGCTGTGTGGGATAGGGTAGGGCTTGTTCCCTATAGGCCGCAAATCCTGACCCAAGTAGCTCTGTGGCTTGAAATGGCACAAGCCTATCTGTCTACCCAAAGTACAGAAGTCATGGCTCAGAGATGAACCAGCTGCAGAGAGCAGCTGCAGGGGAGGGAGCAGCCCCACTTGGCTGACTCAGAAACAACTGGAGCCTGAGGAGCATTTGGCTGCTCACCTTCTGTATAACGCTGATTTTCACATAGCCAGTTGGTCTTTGGAGCACATCCTTAGTGAGGACTGCCTACATTATTTTAAACCTATAAATCACTTTATTTTTTCTTTGTATTGCATATAAAGTTAATATTACATATCAGCTATTTTGAAATTATGTGCCTAAGTAGGTTATTTCATCTAAAATATTTTTTGACAGGATACTAAAATGAACGTCACAAAATGTTTACTGTAAAATAGGGGAAATTAGAACCATTAAGATAGTATACCAAGGAATAATGAGACAGGTGAAGAGTATGCAGTAGCAAAAAAAAAGTTATTTTTATTTAATTTGCAAAAGTGAAATGTTAGTAAAGATGGTTTGAAATGTCCACCCATATGAGAAAGAATTTAGTTTATAATAAATCCTATATTACAGAGAAGTACTGATCATCTCCAATCACTTCATCTTACTAACGAGAAATCATATATACATATCCACTGCCATCCGGTCCATTAAGGCTCATAACGATCCCCACTGGGTTTCTGAGGCTGCAAACTTTTACAGAAGTACATTGTCTCATCTTCCTCCAGTGGAGCAGCTAGTGGGTTTGAATTGCTAACCTTCTGGTTAGCAACCAAATGCATTACTCAGTATATGCCACCAGAGTGCCATATATATCCATATGTATATACATACATATATGTACATATGTATGTATATATAAAAATTACATTACATGCTCAAAGTTATAAAGGTCTTTAGTCAAAGACCTAGACCCAAATATCTTGAACCTAATTAGATAACCACAGTAAACCTAGATTCTTTAATAACTGTTTACCAAATGCTATTTTTAATTGAATTATAAGGATCTTTTTCTAAAAATTAGTTGTCACTATGGTTAATGGTAATATTCTCAACTAGATTTCTCACAAAATGAAGATACGTGAGGTAGATTTTTATGAGTGTTTCATGTTACTAATATTAAAAGAGATAAAGAAATAATAAGAATTTTAATGAAAATAATAAGAAAAACCCTTGGAAACAATATAAAAACTAAATAATGAAAATGGTATTTTAAGATAAAGGGAAAAGTTTTAAGACAGCAAATGTAGAACTTTTGTAAGTCATTGGTAGTCTTACATAGGAGAGAAAGGTATTTATTTTTATTAGTGATGATATCACTCTCCGGAATATTCATTATGGCATTAACACTGGGTATTGAGAAAATTCAGTATTAAGAAAGAAAATAATAATAAATCAAAACCAGCCTAAGTCTTAATGGTAGAAATTCAAGTTTAGTATTTTTGTACATAAGAACAGTATCTAAGTAAAACAGAGAAATATTTCCAGTAAAAATCATCTCAGAAAACACTTTACTAGAGAATAATAGGAGCTCTGGTAGCATAGTGCCTAAGGCTCTGCTAACCAGAAGGCTGGTGGTTCAAACCCACCAGCCACTCCTCAGAGGAAGGTTGGGCAATCTACTTCCATAGTGATACCTCATTGGAAACCCAGAGGGGTCACTAAGTCGGATCCAACTCAACAGCACATAACAACAACAACAGAGAATAATAGAAAGTATCTCTTCTATGCAAATTTAGAGGAGATAGTCAACTTAATACTTTTACTTAATTTTCTTCATTTCTAAGGTCTAATTCTATACCAATTTATTTATTTTACAATCTTCCTTTAGAAGTCTTAAAATAACACATTGTTTTACACAACTAACTCTTGAGCTACATGAAAGTTAAATGCATCAACCCTCCACACAGTCGAAAAACCCACATGTAACTTGTGACTCTTCAACTAAGAGCCTACTGTTGACTGGAAGCCTTGCTGATAACATCTACTTCCGCAGAGATACTGCCTCCAGAACCCAAAGAGGGATCACTATGAGTTGAATTGACTTGACAGCAGTGAGGAATACAGTTCTTGTCATATAGTTACTAGATTTTTCTCATGAAGATACTCACATACAGAACAGATTAAGTTTATTAACTGTATGGCATGATGATTATTTACTATTCATTAAGTAGAAGTGGATCACCATAAAGGTCTTCATTCTCAGAGCAAGCGGAGGAACAGGAGGGCAGTTGCCTGTACTGTCTTGGGCTGGCAGAAGCAGAAGAGGTGGAAAAGGTCAAAGAGACAACAGGAGAGGCAGGCCCACTCAGTGTAACTTTACGGAAATACATCACAATTTCTGACTTTTATTTCTCTAAAAATGTTTTTTACATGGTGCTTGAACAACTTCTCTTAGAAAGATCAGCACAAGGCCGGTCCCCAAGAGGTGGAGGTTAACAATGTCCCAAATGTCCAAACTATAGTGCCACTCCATCATTTCAGATGTTAACTCCTCCCCCTCCTTTCAGTAATCTCCCATGTCTTAGGGGTCTGTATTTTGCTGTAATGCCTCAGAGAACTCACAGACACCCAAGGGATCATCTCACATAGTAGTGGTGGAGGCTGGCAAGTCCCAGGTCTGTAAGTAGGTCTTACAATTCTCGGGGTTTGATGAATCTCAATCAGCAGATTAGATGACAGCTGCTGTCCCAAATCCAGGGGTGATGTGACAATGGCCCGAACACAGAACTGGAGCAGGAGGAGGGTGAGCCTTCCCAGAGGATTCATAGGTATACCCTCAAGGAAGCTAAAGGTGGTGATTTGATTTATACCCTCCAGCAAGGCGGGACTCAAGATATATCCCACTTGTGTTGCTCCAACAGAAATAGCCCAAGTGGATGGCTTTAATAATCAGCAGTTACTCAGTGGCATAGAGCCAATTGCCAGCCATCATAAGGGATGACTACTACCAGCTGCCCAGCCACGTTGACAACTGACCTTAACTACTACACCATCGCAAACAAGCATAGATAATAGGATTTACAATACAACACTGAATGGAGGACAATGGCTAGGAGGGCCACATCAAGCAATTCACTGCACATGGTAACAATTCTTCTACTGTTTATTTTAGTTTCAGTTCATGTCGTATCATAGTAAGATCCATGTCATAAAATAAGTCAAAAGCAGTTTTGAATAATCAGAACTCTTTTGCCAGATTGTCTAATGTCAATTCGTTTTCTGGCACTGCTTCTTCTATGTCTTCTTCCTCATAGTCTGGCAACGGTTTGGAAGCACTCATCTCCATCAAATCATCTTTCAATTGGTCTGGTGTGGTACCTATTAGTTTTTGATTATCACTAAGATCCATATCTTGAAATATATCCATGTGTAAGTGGACTCGTGCAGTACAAACCCATGTTGTTCAAGGGTCAACTGCATATACATATATACATACATATAAATTTCATATATTCACTATATACCATTTCCAATTTATCTTAATCCTAGAATATTATCATATACCCAGCCAAATTAAAGAAATAAAAACAATCTAACAGTTACCACCAAAACAATTTAGTAGTAACTTACGTGGTAAACAGGTCTGTTTTTGCTCTCTTAATATATAGATTCAATGTATCACCTTAGAAAATTTTAAATTTTCTTACTTGCTTTCTCCTTAAGAAGAGCAACTTGCTGTTTAAGATACTCAATAACTTGATCTGCCTCAGCCCCCTTCTGTTCCAGTCTCTTCAGAATAGCATCATTGGTTGCCATTTTTGTCAAGAAACGGCAGACACTCCTAAATTAAAAAAATAAAAGTAATACATTATATTGTGGAAAGAATATACCATACCATACACTGCAAAAAGTTGTCCAAAAGGGAAAATATCTTCTACTATAACAGATCAATATACTAGAAAAACACTTTTCATATGAGAAGCAACAAACCAAAAAGGCAGAAATGTTAAGTGGACCAATTCCTGCATCTATTTGAGAGGGAAAAGCTATAAGTCTTGCTAAATTCTGAAATGATGCTATTTAACCATAGCGTAGGTTGAAAGTTTTCAAAGAAAGCTTTAAAATAGTGCAAAATACTAAGACATAAGACAAAGAGCGCTACGGGAAAATAGTAAGTAATAATAATCTGAATTAAGCTATAACCTATGCTCCAAAGAAAATAGTTGCTGAATTGCTTCTTTATAAAGTATTTGGTATAATGGATGATTCTACTGTTTTTTTCACTTATGTACTATTTTCAAGTGAACATGTGAATAAAGAGAAAAACAAAACCCAGCGCTGTTGAGTCAATACTGACTCCTCGCAACCCTATACAACACAGAAGAACTGCCCAGACAGTTTTCAAAGGTGTAAATCTTTAAGGAAGCCAACTATTACATCTCTCTCTTGGGGAGTGGCTGGTGGGTTTGAACCGTCAACCTTCTATAATGTAAAAAATCCTGTTGATGCACAGAAAATCATATATAAGCAAACATTCTGAGATTAATTCATCATAATAAAGTTTGAAGTGCCAGATATAAGGACAAATAATGAATATTAAGACAAACAATCACAATGACAAAAGAGAGGGTTAATCACTAATGCTAATAAGAATTACTCTTCTGACATGTTTAATATTAATTTATAACTCACGATCCAAAGTTAACAACATATACATAGCTGAAATAATTGTGATTTTATATAAACAAAACTATGTAAAGTTGCAAAATTTTTTGATAGAAAAAAATTGACCAATGGACAAATACTATAGAAGATTTTTTTAAATTTTAATTTATTATTCAATATTCTAACCATATAAAAACATTTCCTGAAATGTTTACCTCTTTTAATAGAAGAAAGCCAATCTGCAAAACATTCACATTAAAATTGATAATATACATGACAGAGAAACAATGCCAAGATTATGAGACCAGAAGAACTAGATGGTACCCCGCTACTACTGTCAACCACTTGGAAGTGGATCTATATAGGAGATCCTGGATAGAGAAGGAGAACAATGTGGAACAAAACCCAAAATCATTTGGAGGGAAAAAAAAAAAGGGGAACCAGGTTTGCTGGTCCGACAGAGCCTGGTGGAACCACTGAGACTATGGCCCCTAGTTGCCCTTCAGGTTTGGAATTGAACTCATACCTGTGGCTTCCAGCCAAACAAAAGACAGGCATATGAGCTGAACATTTACCTGAGATAGATACACTCCTTGGAGAAAACAATCATGGAAGAAAGAAGGGCTGCTTATGCACAGGGAGACAGCTCAGGGGGCAGGAGCACATGGTGGGATGGACACAGGGAAGAGGAAAATATCGGGAGGAAGTGGGAGGGGAGCTGCTGCATTGTGGTAAATTGTGGTCAATGTTATGAGACAAAGTATATGTGAACTGCTGTATGGAAAGTGAATTTGCTCTGTAAATGTTCACCCAAATCACAATTGGAAAAAAAAAAAAAAAAAGAAACAATGCCAAATTTAAGAACAAAACTATAAAAACAAGTGGCTAATAAATGAAGAAATATATGTAGAAGTTAATCTTAAAAAGCCACAGTAAACTGCTCGTTTTCTACACGGACTATTACTTTACCAGTTTAGAACAATGAAGACAAAAAAAAAAAAGGTACAGAAATTCAAAATGAAGGTTATCATCTTTATAATCCTGCTACTTTTACCAAGTAAGCCCTGAGAATACTCCGTTGTATCTCAAATGTTTGGAAAACTAAAATTTTATAGAAATAAATAAGTAGATATATCAAGCAAATTAAGGTAAAAAAGCTTTTGTTCTTGTGAACTTTTAGCATCTTGAGTTACTGCAGTATTTTTAGTTTATTATTTTCCTATTTTGGTCTAACATAAGTAATAATGAGATAAATTCAATAGGAGAAATACAGTTATCAAAAACAAGGAGTATAATCCATATCTGATTTGGCCTAATCCATAACTTTCACTTCCTGGCAATGAAAAAACTAGATGAATAAAATAAGCATGAAATTGTTGTTGTTGTTGTTATGTGCCGTTGAGTCAGACCCGACTCAGTGACCCCTCCTTGGGCTTCTGAGGCAGTATCACTACGGAAGTAGATTGCCCAACCTTCCTTCTGAGGAGTGGTTCGTGGGTTTGAACTGCCAGCCTTCTGGTTAGCAGTCAAATGCCTTAGGTACTATGCCACCAGAGTTCCTTGCATCATTACATATTCACCAAATTACATCATTATATAACTGCCAATCACTGAGAAGCATGGACCAGCCAAACACATAATCTTAACCATCAAAGCCAGTGTTAATCTCACCTTGCACCTTGGCATTTCTTACTGCTAGACTTAAGTTGTTAATTCAAAAAATAGTCAGATTTTTTACTATTGCTGTAAATGTGAAGTGTCAGATAATGAGATAGTCAATTAATACAAGTAAGTGAGGAGTAGATGTAATTAATATATCACATATGGTTGAGGTGGGGCAAAATGAGGTACCATGAATAATATTTATTTTGGGCACATAGAAAATTAGTGGAAGTTTACTACTATGCCAGCTCTGGCCTATATTTTAAGATCACAAAAAAAGAGATGGTATATGTATGTATGTGTGTGTGTATATAGATATATATACACACATACATATACATATATACATATATATATATATATATATATACATAAAATCCTCGCCTTCAAGAAATTCTCAGTATTTTACCTAATCCTATGATATTTTCTAGGTCCTTAAGTAAGGTTTTTGTACTTTCTTAAGGAATAGAGACATAACAAATAATAAAAATACAATTTTTAAAGATACTGAAATTGTACTCAGAAGAAAATTGGTAAAGTTAAACAGTGGTATAAACCATGGAAATGACAACTATCAACAGTCTGATATTAATTCTGAATTTTGTGTTGATAACAGTGTACATAATACATCTAAACACTCTTGTCCTTGGATGTACAGTAAGACAACAATCAAGTGAACTATCTTTGCACACTTTTTCCTACAAATAGACATTGCATTCATAGCTATGGAAAATGTAAAAATAACAGACTTGGGATTAAGGAAATGGTACAAACAGAAAGAACACTCAGTGGAACTACATGGTAGAAAGCAAATTTCAGTTTAAAGGCTTTGTAAGGGTTTTCTCAGGATTAGTATAATAGTTCTCAGTTCTAGTTCAGAAGGCAAGGCAATCCAGAATGAGCCATATATACCATTTTGCCAAAGGTACACAACTGGATAAGAGTATCAAGAGAAGAACCGGTTTATGAGAATGAAGTATACTTCTCTGGCTTAAGGGAAGGGAAAAATAAACAAAGTCCTCACATCGTTATCCAATAATTAAGTTTTCCAATAGTTTTCATAAATTATATACAATGATGAAACATATCCTATTGTGATGTATCAGGTTATTTTAATTGCCATTAAAAGAGAAAGGGAAAAGACATCTTCTGCTAGTACAGACATTTCTCTTCAAATAACCAAGTTTCCACTGCAAAATAATAAGTATGACCATAAAATGAACCAGCTGTTAACTAATTCCTTCTCCTGGACAACTGATTATCTAGAAATACTATTCATGATGCCAATATTAAATACTTGTCTTGTGAGATCTAAAGATATTTTGGACTACCTTCTAGTGATCTCTATGTGCTGATTAAACTTTTCTCTAATACCAAAAGCTATCTACTCTTGTTAGAATACCATGGGTTAGGAATAGTCAGAGAGGAAAGTACATCACAAAATATATTCATGTGTAATATTTCATTCAGTATCTAATAACTATTGCTTTGATGTTTTCTAAAAAATAAATTTAAAACATATTTAAGCAGTTGGTTCTAAAGATGGATTTGAGAGTTTTAATGGCAAAAATGTCAGAGTGTGACTATAAATTTAAAAGCTGAACATTATTTCGAAATATACTAATTTCAAATATTATTTGAAGAAAAAACTACTTACCCCTGTACAAGTTTAATAATGTGATTGGATTTAAAAGACAAATCAGTAGCTACAAAGTTCATTTGGAAACTTACCAAAAAATAATCAAGTCATATAACTCATTTCCTCCTACAATGATACTTTAATTGAATAGGTTCTATATATGATCAGAGAAACTACTTTCAAAGAAAAAAGATGCTAAATGCAATAAAATATCAAATTTTAAACAAACTACCTCATGCACTTTATCCTTGAGGCTCAAGTGGGTGCACATGTATACTTGTATGGGATGGGTAAAAATATACATATATATACACACATACATATATATATACATATACAAGTGGACAAAAGGTGAGGCTGAGAAGGGATAGAGGGGAGGAAGGCTCATTCTATTGGGGAATGAATGGTAACCCAGAAGTTCAGGTCAAATAATAAATATCTTCAAGCTGAAATATTTCGAAAAGTTAAAAGGAAACAATTCTTTTAGTTTTGGTCTTTAAAATTTTAAGTGTCATTATAATATCACTTACATGTAGTACTTTTAAAAAATCATTAATTCAGTAAATTATTGCTGAGCATCTATTAGTACATGTCAGGTCCTGTGGCAGACAATGCAACTCAATAAATAAGAAAGTCTCTTCAAAACTCACTGCCCTTGAGTTGAATCCAACTCATAGTGACTCCTCCTTGGGTTTCCGAGGTGGTATCACTGCAGGAGTAGATTTGCCCAACCTTCCTTCCGAGGAGTGGCATGGGTTTGAACCACCAGCCTTCTGGTTAGCAGTCAAATGCCTTAGGCACTATGCCACCAGAGTTCCTAAGAAAGTCTCCTACTTGCAAGTAATTTATAATCTTGTGGAGGAAAAATGAA